CCTGGCTCAAAGTAACCCCCAGGCACTGCTGGGTGTGGTCCCAAAACCAAAAGACTGGAGAGAAATTTTAGTTCCTCTAAAGTTGTGGCAGAATAATTTTAAAACCAAAGGAATAAAATAATTCTTCTTAAAATGTGGGGCTGGAGTGATAGCACAGCGGGTAGGGCATTTGCCTTGCACGCGGCCGACCTGGGTTCGATTCCCAGCATCCCATATGGTCCCCTGTGCATCGCCGGGTGTGACCCAAAAAGCAAAAAATAATAATAATAAAATAAAATATATATTAAGAGGGCCAGAGATATAGCACAGTGGGGTTAGGGCATTTGCCTTGCACACGGCCGAAAAAGGTTCTATCCCTGGCATCCCATATCGTCCCCCAAGCACTTCTAGGAGTAATTCTTGAGTACAGAGCCAGGAGAAATCCCTGAGCTTTGCCGGGTATAACTCAAAAAACAAAAATAAATAAATAAAATATAAAATGCTTGCCTTGTACATGTCCAACTTAGATTCAATCTCTGGCACCCCATGTGGTAGTCTGAGTCTCTGCCAGGTGTAATCCCTAGTGCAGGGCGAGGAGGAATCCCTGAGCATGACCAGGCATGACCCTGCCCGTTCCCCACATGAAAAAAAAATAGGCCAGTGTGCTCAATGGACTGAACACATGCTCTGCATGGCTGTTGAGGTCCTGGCCCCATGTATTCTCTCAAGTACTCCTGGGACACCTCAAGTACAAGGCAGGGAGTGGTTTCTGTGGACCACGGAGCGGGGCTCAAAAATCAAACCCAACCGAAACTCTCCTATGCAAAAATGAAGGACAGGGCCACAGCGATAGTACAGCTGGCAGGGCCTTGCCTTGCACGCAGCCAGCTGAGCTCGATCTCCTGCACCCCACGGGGTTCCCTGAACCCGCCAGAAGCGGTTCCTGAGTGTAGCGTAGAAGGAAGCCCTGAACACTGCCGGGTATGGCCCCATAACAACACATAAAACAAAACAACTCATGAATGATAACTTCTGTGATATCTTGACTGAGAAAGGTATGCACGCGACTCTCCTTTTCACCTTCATAGTCAATTCCATTACAATGGTTCCTTACATATTATCACCAAGTTCCATTTTATCAGTTTGGAGTAAATCTGAGATAAAATTCCAGGTTAAGCTGCGTGTTTAGAGAAACCTAATAAAATTGCTACCAACAGAATGTGTTTTTTTTTGCAGGGGGTGGGTGTTATTACTACTTGTAGCGCTCTCAAATAGTGCCCCTTGGGCACCTCAAGATGTTCTTGAGCCAGGCAGTGGCAGGGGTTGAACATGCCAGGGCTTTTCATATGCTGGGAATCTGCTCTACCATTTGAGCAAGAGCTGCAGCTTTTTATTTATTTATTTATGTATTTATTATTTATTTTAACCTTAGTTTTTTGGTCCCACACAGAATGCCCAGGAGTTATAACTGGCTCTGCACTCAGGCATCACTTCTGCTCAGGGGACCATATGGAATACCTAAGATCACAACTCAGTTGGCCCAGTGCAAGGCAGGAGCCTCCCAATTGTACTACTGCTTTGGCCACTCTACAACTTATTTTATTTGGAAGTTGGCAATGCCTGGCTCTGTGCACAGGAGTGACCCCTTGTAGAGTTCTGGGGACCATATATGCCATATCAGGGAAAGAACAGCGGTTGGTTTTATGAAAACTCAGTGTCTTGCTTCCTAGTTGGCCCTGCATTTGGTTTGGTTTTTGCTTTATTTTGTCACATTCTATTTAGGTTGAAATAAATTATACAAAATCGATTTTCTTCACTGAAAATAACAGCAGTATTTTCATATTATTCCTGGCAAACCCACAAAACCTTTCATGTAGGTTTTCCAAGTTTTGCTTCTAAATCGAGCTCGAGCGGGCCCAGTAACGTCTCCATTGGAGAGTTTGTTGTTACTGTGTTTGGCATATCGAATACATCACGAATACATCAGGATGAGGCAATAGATATCATCATGAAGAAAAGAAAGCAAAACAAGCCCGTTGTCAGTCTCCATGGTCTTTGATCCTATCTTGACCGTGAAACAGAAGTGTTCAATGCATACCTGCTAAAAGCGTTATGTCGGCTCACCAAAGGAATATAAACATCAACAACCAGATATGGAACAATAGTGGCAGATTCATCTCTTCAAACTGCATTTTGTTCCTGTGAGTTCATTTGCTAAAGACAAAGTCTGCACTTAAAATCTACACTCAGCAAGTTCACATTTCTCGGGTAATTCCCTTACCTGACCACCACAGACTTTTAACAATAATACTTGGAACTCCGACCAGTTAAAGGTCAGTCGTGAGCCTCACGGTAGCGTTCTATAAAACTGAGTCCTTCCCACACATCCTGAAAATACAGCTCTTCAGGAACTGATAACTGAATACCAGAAAGTTGCAGCCACAGTGACAATGTCGTATCTAAAATGATTCAACTGAAAACAATTCCAAAGTGCCACGAGCCTATTTCACACAGAAGCGTGATGCGACACTTTCAGTGCTATCTTTGGGAAGAAGTCAGGTCTCCACAGCATGCTGAGCTCAGTTTTAAATGCGGTGCCAGGGGCTGAAAGCAGGGTTTTATCTGAAGGCTATTCAAAGTCCTTCTCCCTCTGAACGCCATCCTTGTCCCTCAACAGGATATTTTTGGGAGGATAAAACAAGTCACCTTAAAACATAAATGGTGAGGGGCTGGAGCAGCAGCACAGGGGGTAGGGCGTTTGCCTTGCACGCAGCCAACAAGGCCAACACAGGTTCGATTCCCAGCATCCCATATGGTCCCCCGAGCACAGCCAGGAGCAAATCCTGAGTGCAGAGCCAGGAGTAATCCCTGAGTATCGCCCGGTGTGACCCAAAAAGCAAAAAAAAATAAAAAAATAAAAATAAAAAAATAGAGCATAAATGGTGAACACAAGAACAGTTAGGAAAATTCCATAACCCCTGTGCATCGCCAGGTGTGACCCAAAAAGCAAAAAAAAAAAAAAAAAAAAAAAAATTCCGACGTAGGGCTGGAGTGATTGCACAGCAGGTAGGTCGCTTGCCCTGCATGCGACTCGGGGTTCACTTCCTATCCCCCTACCTGGTCCCCCCCAAAACCATGTGAATTGCCAGGAGCAATTCCCGAGTCCATCGCCGGGAGTGACCACAAGGGGAGGAGGAAAAAAAAGAAAAAAAAAACTCCTATATAGGTCGGTATCCCGTAGAGATCCCGCTGCTCCCGGGTCCTTCTGCCCTGCTGTTCGGGGGCGACGAGGGGCTCGTCGGCGGAGACGGACCCCTGCAGCCCCGCAGGCGCTCGCCAACGAAGCTTTTTCTCTCTCCAGCCCATAGCAGAGCATTTTATTTTATTTTATTATTTTTTTCCTTTTTGGGTCACCCCCGGCTCATGCACTCAGGAATGACCCCTGGCGGTGCTCGGGGGACCCTAAATGGGCTGCTGGGAATCGAACCCGGGTCGGCCGCGTGCAAGGCCGACGCCCTCCCCGCTGTGCTCTCTCTCCAGCCCCGCATTTCAGCCGGTCCTTGTTCTTTTCTGTGCGGGGGTGACACGTGGCCGCGCTCCGGGCTCAGGCCGGCGGAGGGGCGGGGCCCGCGCGCAAGGACGGTCTCCACTTTGGCCATTCAAACAGGAATGCGACCAAAGGCGACTTTTATCTCGATTTAAAAAAAAAAAAAAAAGAGTCGTCTGTCACAGACTACGTCCACGCTGCCATCAGTTCCGGAGAGGAGAGAGGAGAAAAAGAAAGAAAGAAAAAAAGAGCGGAGGGCGGCCGACAAAATGGCCGCGCGGCCGCGATCACGTGACGCCGGCTCGGCGCCTGCGCGGCGCCGCCTTCCGGTTCCTGGTCCGGCGGCGCCGCGGGGGCGCGCCGGGGAGCGCGCACGTCGGCCGTGACGCCGCCCGCGCCGCCGCTCCCGGGGCTGGGGGGCCGCGGCGTGGAGGAAGCGCGCGGGCCGGCGCATGCGCCTGAGGCTGCCGGGCGGGCGATGGCTCCGCGGCTCGCGGGGACCCGGTTCAGGTGAGGGCTGGGGCCCGGCGGCGGCGGCGGCGGCGCTGGCGGCGGGGGGCGGGTGGGGGCGCCCGGGGGCCCCCGCGGGAGGCCCGGGGCCCGCGGCGCGCGTGCACGGCGGCCGCGGGGGGCCCCGGGAGCCGGGCGGGAGCGACGCGGTCCCTTTTGTGCGGGTCGGCGCAGGCCCCGGGCGGCCCGCCCCTCCCCCACCGCCGCGCCCGCGCCCCCCGGGTCCCCCCGCGGTCCGGGCGGGCGGGCTGGCGCGGGTCCGGGGCTGGGGGGTGGGATGCAGATTTTTTTCCTCCCCCCGGCGGGCTCGGGGGCGGGAGGGGCCCCCGCGACCCCTCGCGGGCCGGGTGCGGGCGCCCCGGGGTGCTCGGGCGGGGGGAGGGGGCGTCGCGGTGGTTCGTCCGTTGCCCCAACGGCCCCGCTCCCTCCGCGCGCGCGGCTGGACGAGGCGGGCGCCCCCCGGGCCGTGCCCCCCGCGGGAAGGGCCGGGCCGGTCGATGCATTTTTGGTTCCCCCTCCTCCCCCTCGCCCCGGACCCTGCGTCCCGTCGGTGGGCGTCTTCCCCGGGTTCCCGCTGATCGGTCCCACCGCTTTGGGGCAGGAAAAGAGAAAAGGAAAAAGAAAAAAAAAAAACAGCTCGCCGCTTCTTGCCACGGCGCCGCGTGTCTCTGCAGGCGAGAGCCCGGGCGGGGGTCGCGGGGGTCCCGCGCCTGCCGAGGGAGGGTCCCCGGGGACGGGTGGGGGTCGCTGCCCGCCCCCGCGCGGCCGCCCCCTTCCCTTCCCTTCCCGGGGTCCCGAGAGGAGGAGACTGACCCGCCCCGCCTGACCCGGGCTTTTCTTTTTGGGGGGTGGAGGGGCTGGGGGTCGGGCCTCTCTCGGGCTCGGGAGACCCTCGAAACGACGCATCTTCTAAAGACGCGCCCCCTCCCCCCTCCCCGACGCAGGTCGCAGCCCTAGAGGACGGAGGCGCGGCGGTGTCTGTCCCGGTTCGCCATGGCCCAGTTCGGAGGCCAGAAGAACCCGCCCTGGGCCACGCAGTTCACGGCCACCGCCGTGTCCCAGCCAGGTCAGGGGGCGCGGGGCGGGCCGGGGGCGACGGGGCGGGCCGGGGGCGCGGGGGAGGCCCGGCCTGGTGGGGCAGAGTCCGGGCCAGGGTGTCGCCTTTGGTTTTGGTTCTTCTTGGGCAGCCGGGAGCTGTCAAACGCGGGTTCGTCCCGCTGATTGGGCAGCGGGGGTTTTCCTTCCCGACCTCCCCTGGCGGGACTCGGGGTTCACTTCTTTGTGGTAGCCATCCATTCCATCCATTCATTCATTCATTCGCCTTTCCTTCCTGTGATCCTGTTTTTTAGGGGCCTGTTCGTAAGTTACGTGCAAAAGGGAATGTGTTAGAAATGTAGCCCCTTTGGAAATGGAAAAGCCCGTCTGTGGTTTTCAGTCGTTTGCATTTTGTTTTTTGTTTTTTGTTTTTTTTTTTTTTTGCTTTTCGGGTTCACACCCGGCGACGCACAGGGGCCCCTCCTGGCTCATGCACTCAGGAATCACTCCTGGCGGTGCTCGGGGGACCCTATGGGATGCCGGGGATTGAACCCCGGTTGACCTCCTGCAAAGCAAACGCCCTCCCCGCTGTGCTAATTGCTCCAGCCCCTGCATTTCGCTTTTTGAACTTGATTTCAAGTAGGAAAAAACAAGTATCTAAAGGTTGTTTTTCTTAATCTTAACTTTTGGGAACCACACCCCACAGTACTCAGGGCTTTCTTCTCACTCTGCTTAGGGATCGTTTTTGGGGGAGCGCCAGTGATGCTGGCGAGAAAACCAAGGTCACTGGTGCTGAAGGCGAGCACCTTACCTGCTGTCGTTCCTCTCTGACCCAGTTTTATTCAGTTTTAGGTAACATAGTTAAAATACAGCAGAAATAGTTTTTAAACAAGTTTTCGACTCGGCGGAGTCTTGGGCTCTCTCATTTTTCTTCCACCCTATAGTTTGGATCTTTTTGAATTTACCAAGGATTCTGTAGAATGAGATTTTAGACATTGTAATCAGAAAAAATTGTAGCTTATTTTGTTAGTTAGAGAAATATACATATTTTATATATCTTATCTGAAGCTAGTTGTGTTTTGCCTATATAAAATATTTGTAAGTTGAGGTCAGTTGCAGAGCTATTATGATCTCTTTGGTATTCCAGAATTTCATGGATCTGAGTGGTTAATGTGGGCCAACTTAAAAAAGGGGGGCGTATTTTAGGGCTTTTATTTTATTTATTTATTTATTTTTGCTTTTTGGGTCACATCCTGGCGATGCACAGGGGTTACTCCTGGCTGTGCACTCAGGAAATTACTCCTGGCGGTGCTCAGGGGACCATATGGGATGCTGGGAATCGAACCCGGGTCAGCCGTGTGCAAGGCAAATGCCCTACCAGCTGTGCTATCTCTCCAGCCCCTAGGGCTTTTATTTTAATTACCCTTGATTTGGCAGGTGAAACAGTAAACAGTTACTTTTGCAGGCTACTGAATTTTTTTTTTTCTTTTTGGGTCACACCCAGCCATGCATAGGGGTTACTCCTAGCTCTGCACTCAGGAATTACTCCTGGTGGTGCTCAGGGAACCGAATGGGATGCTGGGAATCGAACCCAGGTTGACCTACCCGATCTGTTATCACTCCAGCCCCTGGTGACTGAAATCTTAAAAATATAATTAAGGATTGTTAATTCACACTCAACTATTCACTATTAAGTGATGTTTCTGAACCATTCCCATTTCAATGATTCCCTTTATTTTTGGTATTGACTTAGTTTTGATGACACAAAATAGTAACTGTTCAGAAGTAACTACTATGTATTGATATTTTGGCAAACTGCATGTTTCACCTTGCTTTTTCTGCTTTGTTTTGTTTTGCATTCATGTCCGTATCGTTCCAGTAAAATACCTGCTATCATAGAGTTCTGTTGCCTGTCACTCTGAACGTTTGTATTGTAATTACTTTAACGCTATTTGATTTGTTTGTTTGTTTCTTGGACCACCCCAGTAGAGCTCTGGTTATTCCCAATTTACCGGGGGTTTTCTCCCTGTGGTGCATGTGGGGACCTAAGGTGCCAGAAAAAAACCCTGGAACTTCCCCTGTGCCAAACATGTGCACTAGCCCTTTGACTGATCTCCCTTGACCCTTAAGACTGAAATTAGTCTTTCTTACCCTGACCCTTAAGTGACAAAAGTCACTGCAGTTGTTACCTTTAATTTTCTTTATCTCACTATCTGCAAATCAGTTGTATATGAAACCCTGACTTCCTTACTTTTTTTTTCCCACTTCTTTTTTGTTAAGATTAGTAGAGTGGCCCACAGCTGTGGGCACACCAAAGCGCCTCAATGTCACTGTCCCTGGGCTCCTACTCAGTATGTCAGCCAGTGTCAGACATCCTGGCCTTGGGTCTGCCGTGAAGGCAGTCAGCCTCTGAGTTATTCTGGCCTCCCTCCCCAAGCCCTTTGAAAATGCCCCAGATTCACTCCATTTTTGTTTTATATTTAGGCCTCTAGCTTGACATTTAGATATTTATATCTTGCGTATAACTCCCATGTCAAAGTCTCCCATAACTGCACTGACCGAATAGTCGAGTTGCATGCTTTGCATGCGGGAAGTCCAGTTCTATCCTCAGCACTTACACGGTCCCTGGACACTTTTGGAGTGACCCCTGAGCATCATCAAGTATGGCTCAAACACTGTCTAACTCCCCCCCCTCCCCCCCCAGAAAGTCTCCCTTAGCTTTCAGACCCTTCCTGTATTTCCTGAAACTTTGTCTTTCTTACTATTACAGATCCTTCCCTTAAGTCACCAGTGTCTCTTCTCTCACTTGGTAGTGCTGGTCAAAGTATTAACTTTGGTCTTTATTATTACTGTATTTTAATTTGGAGGGCCACACCCCGTTGTGCTCAGGGCTTAACTCTTGGCTCAAGTACTTCCTGGCTGTGCTTGGGGGGCCCAGTGTGGTGCTGGGGATTGAACCTGCGTGGGCTGTGTGCAAGGAAAACACTTTAACCACTGTGCTATCACTCTGGCCTGTTTTCTTGTTCTTTATTGCTGAGGGTTACTATTAGTTTGTTCTAGCTGCTTTTATTTGCTTGTCTCTTCCGGGATGTGCAGATTAGTATTTTCCTCCATTCTAAATAAAGCATTAGATACTGATTTTTCAATCAAAATAAAAAAACGTTTAAATGAATGAGGGCCTGGTTTGAGCTGGATTCTCTCTTTGCTTCTTTCTCTAACAGATCAGAATGAGGTCCAGAAAGTTGAAGAACTAATGTTTTTGGTTGGTTGATTTTAGGGCTGCCCCTGGTGGTGCTCAAGTTTTACTTCAGGCTCTAAGAGCTAAGAGGTCACTCCTGAGGTGCTCAGAGCCCATCTGTGTTTCTGGTGGTTGAACTTGGGTCAGGGGCTTTTATTTATTTTGGGGGATGATGGGGAGCCACACCTGATGGTGCCTGGGAGTTACTTCTGGCTCTGCACTCAGAAATGACTCCTGGCGGTGCTTGGGACCCTAAGGGATGCTGTGACTTGAACCCAGAATGGCCACTTACCCTACCGTACTATGGCTTGGGTGCCAGATAGTTTCTTTTATGCTATTTCTGTGATGTGGGAAATTACTTTGAGTTCTATCTGAAAATGTATTGGAAGTAACATTGAAAGCTATATGAAATTTGGGTGAAAAAAATTTTTAAAAGGGGGCCAGAGTGATAGTACAGCATGTCGGGTTGCTTGCCTTGCATGCAGCTGACTGAGGCTTGATCCCTGACGCTGCATGTGGTCCCCCCAAAGAGCCTAGCCTAGAGCCAGGATTGCATCCTGAGCACTGCCGGGTGTGCACCTCCGCCTCCCCATAAATACACAATATAAAAGACTCCTTGAAAAATGAGTTACAATTTAAGTCCGTAGCAGAAGAGATTCTGAGACATTGTAAGGGGTAACTTCACTTGGCTGGAAGGTTGACAGTTCCTTGCCAGAAGAGATGGAGAGTCAAGATCACTACCGTGGGACTTTGAGGGGGTAGAAGGAGCTTTTCTGTAATGAATGGCATTGTCTACTAGTTAGGACTTGGTGTAAAGGTAATGTATTCTTTGTCTGAACTGTATAATCTGGCAGCCACTGGCTACTTGATTTGTTTTGTTTCGGTCTTTGACGGGACTGCCACACTTGGCAGTGCTCAGGGCCGACTTCTGGCTCTGCGCTTAGGGAATCATGCGGGGTGCCAGGGATTGAGCCTGTGTCGGCCGCGTGCAAGGCAGGTGCTCTGCTCACTAGACTGCTGGTCCTGCCCCACCACTGAATATGTGAAATGTAGCTAACATAACTGAATTTCTAATTTTATTTTTTCTAATTTATACTAAAATAGCCCCACGTGACTTGTATATTGAATAGTGCGGTTATAGAAAATTTCAACCCTTGAAATCTGCTGTGTTGGACGGAAAGGATCGGACAGGGGTTAAAGAGCTTGCCTCTCACGAGCGTGTGCATCAGCCTGTGTTCCACCCCAACTCCTTGCGTGGCGCTTGTGCCTCCGAGAACCATCAGGGGTTGCTCCTGAGCACAGAATTAGCCCCGAGTACTGCCGGGTGTGGGCCAAAAATCGACCAGCTTAGAAATACAGTAGTGGGTTGACCCTTGAGTTTGATTGTAAGAAAGTTATCTGTGGGGGCTGGAGCGATAGCACAGCGGGGAGGGCGTTTGCCTTGCACGCGGCTGACCAGGGTTCGATTCCCAGCATCCCATTTGGTCCCCGAGCACCGCCTGGAGTAATTCCTGAGTGCATGAGCCAGGAGTAACCCTTGAGCATTGCTGGGTGTGACCCAAAGAGAACAAAGAAGAAAAAGAAGTTATCTGTGAGGTTTGTTTCTTTGTTTTTTGTGTTTTCTTTTTTGTAGGTGTGAAATCAAATCTATGTATCAAATAGATGTGTAAAAGGGAGCTGAGACCCCAAGCACGACATTGGACTGCTTTGGGGTGTGGGTATGTGAAACTGGGTTTGAATTTGGGGTCCTGTTCGTGCAACAAATATGCTCCTAACTGCTGAGCAATATTCCT